GCGGCGGTTACGCAACATTAGCGGTGATTGGCGGCGGTTACGCAACATTAGCGGTGGTTAGCGGCGGTTACGCAACATTAGCGACCGTGTCACTTGCCGCTGTCCAAGCCTACCTCTTGGGCTCCACCTCGAACCCCACGATGTAGTTCTGGTCAGACTGGCCCCCATTATTGTTGTACAGGATGCTGATTTGGAAGTAGGTGTAAAGCAGGTAGTTCTTCTGCGAGCGGGGGAAAAGCGGCACGTGGGTAAGGGGGGGAAGAAGAAGCGTATAACAGCGTAGCGTATAGCAGCACAGCGCGGCGTACAATAGCACGCCGCGATAGGCCGCCTCACAAGTGAGCTGCCACCACACAACGTCACACTCCACTCGGTACGCACGTCCTGGATGTAGCCGACGGGGATGCCCGAGTAGTAAAAGCCCTTCCTTCGAGGGTCCTCGCGAAATATTTCCACATTGTCTACCGAGTAAATCATATTGTAGTTGTACAGAATGAGGTGCTTGTACTTCGCATAAGCGCTATCGTCAATGTAGATTCTACAATAGAAAACACAGGTGGCGTCGTTGAGGAAGGTGGTATGTATGGAGGTGGTGTGGAGGGTGTCCCCGGAGAGTATTTTGAAAATGTTTGGCGCCTCTTCACTCGATATGCTTGCGTTGTCGGAGGAGCACAGTGGGAAGGTGAAGTAGTCCAGGCTCGTCACCGCTCGCCGGCTGGAGAGATTCTTCACGCTGATGACCACCTTGTCGCTCTTCTTGTAAACCTGCCGCAGGGGGGGGGGGGAATGGTCGCGCACATGTGGTAGCGGCACACGGTTAGAGGTGGTCGCAGCAGATGTAGCCGCGGCAGGAGTGCTTGCCGTACCGTTGGGTTCATTCCGGGTAGGTAGGACGCCACATGTTGGACGCAGTGGAGGAAGACCACCGCGAGGGCGAAAAAAAAAATCTTGTAAATCATTTTTCCCGTTTGGCGTTATGTACATGTTATTCGTGCTGCCCGGCCATGCCACACACCAGCGTCGCGCGCGCAAAAATGGGGGAAAGCAAAGGTGATCTCCTTGGCGCTTCTTGTGAGCGGTACTCCCGCGTAGTTCCTACGTGGCCCTGTTCAGTGGCCCTCTCCGGTGGGGGGTAGGGCACGAGGTGAAGAGAACAAGCACATTGCGCGATGCACAAGCCGACAGTTGGCATAAAAAAAAAAAAAAAAAAATGGGAGGATGAAATAAATAAAGGTAAAAAAAAAAAAGAAGATGCTTCCAAACGTATTTTCCAAACTTTGAAGAATTAAAAAAATTGTAGGGCGACAGGGCCTCATGTTATGCAAGCCATCTGTGGAATTTCCACTAGGGGGTAGGAGAGAACAACAAGGAAAAAAAAAAAAAAAAAAAAAAAAAAATATTATTATTATAAATGTATATGGTACACGCTGTGCAGTGGAGCACATGAGGTGTTTTTCACCTAACACGTTGCGAAGGACCGCTTAACCGGTTCTTCTCTAAGCAAGGCGCATCTCTCGTTGGAGTTAACAAAACTGTGTGGTGTAAACCGAAAGCAGCTTCACATGTGCACATATGAAAGTGGCACATGCAAAAGCACTAAGCCTTAATATATGCATTATGAAAGTTTCTGTTGGCCCTGCAAAAGGAGAACATGTACCCATTCGGCGCCGTGCTTGTGTGTGCATCCAAGGGGGAAACTTGCCCTTGCCCAAGTACCTCTCCCCAGTGAGCGCGTGCATGTGACGACTTGCTCTCTCCCGTTAGAAGTTGTGCGTCATTGTCCCGCCACTACACCACTTTAAAAGTGGTCTCCCCTTTGTTCAGATTAAAAAAAAAAAAAAAAAAAAAAAAAAAAAAAAAAAAAAAAAAGTGGCGACAGGTTGATGAGAAGTTACTCTAAGTTGCGAACAACTACGCGTAGCCGCGCCAAGCGTAGTGACGCAGGACGAGGCTGTGAGGAAACAAAAACGATGACACACTGGTGGTGAAACAAATCAGGAGATCGTCACCCGCATTTGTGTGCTTGTTGTGTAACAGGACCTGTAGTTTCCAATTGAGTCCTTATTGAGTCCCTATTGCGTACCCATTGAGCACATATTAAGTACCTATTGGAGGCGGCGCAAAAAGTTTTATTTATTTATTTAGTTCTTTTTTTACTTGCCCCCTCCGTGCATACACAGTAAAATGGTATGACCCATTCTGTGCATACCCTCTGTACATGCAGCTGCGTTGTCAGAGTAGCGACTTTGCGTTGGGGTTACAAAAGGGAGCGTCCGGAGGGAGTGTGAGATTGAGCAAGCATCCGGGTGGCAGGGGAAAGAGCGACTGGGCCCCTACACACACCGCACAACGAAGAAGACGAAGCAAACGAGAGAGCCCATGCGTACACACACTGTGATGCATGTGTACGGTTCTTGTCGAGTGTCCTCTGTGCTACTTAGTGTTTTTGTGTGTGTGTGGGTGGGGAGGCGCTGTGCCAAAACGGCTAAACATGAAATAGGTGTGGAAGTGAGAAGTGGTGTGGTTTCCCTGAAGGCGGTTTAAAAAATTTTTTTTCCCCCCCATTTCAATTGTTAAGAAGGCGACTGGATCCTCCTGCACTGGTCAGCAGGGGTGGGTTCCCTCCCTTCTACTCTCACATGACCATTTTGCATGTTTGTGCATCCCAGCTTTAGTGTCCTTGGTATGATGAGAAGTGCCGGTTGGAGAGGTAGGTGTGTGTGTGTGTGTGTACAAGTATAATAAAATTGCTCCGTCTGCAGACTTACACCCCATCGACTAAGTGCTACACACACGGGCGCTGATTATTCTTGCCCCGTTCCATACCCGCAGGAAACGATGAAAGCAGTCACGTTGCTTCTGAAGGCCGCCCTACTCGCAGTGGCCAGCAGCCTGAGGACACCCGATGTGAGAAGCAGGACCCAAGAAATTATTCCAAATGCTAACCACAAATATATCCTGACTGAAATAAAAAAAAAAGGAAGACGAGTCTACACAAATATAAATTTTCATAACATTGACAAAAGTGTTAAAAATGAAATTATAAAAAAAAAAGATTATAATTATAATGAAAGCATAGGAGATAAATTGAGGAAGCTGAAGAAATTGAAGAATGTATTAAACCAATACTCCTTACGAATTAATAAAGAGGACCTAGACAATTTAAGAGAGAGGACAAAGGAGCTGGTGAAAACAAATTTTGATTTCACCAAAAGTTATTATGTACAGGTGTATAACAGATTGAAAGAGGACTCTGGCGTCGTTTTTCATAAATTAAAAAATGGTTATAACATTTGCTACGAGTACCTTGGAAGTACCTACCTCTTCAATGCTGTGCAAAATTATTTACTCAACTTGCCCTTATTGAGCAAGTCCAGTTGCCTGCCCAAAATGGTTAATTACAATTCGGTTAATTTATTGTTTATTTTATTTACCTTTATATATTTTAAGAGCGATTTAATTTATAGCCTTTTTAAAAAAAAATATGCTTTCATTGGAGAATTCCGAGATGTGAAGACAGACCGCCTTGTGAAGATGCATACCTTGGCCACTTTGGTTTTTTTTTTTTATAAGTTTTTTGTGTTACGGTTATTCTTTGTTTTGAATTCGTATAGTTTTTTTTCTCGCAGGTTGTCCATGCTCAACAATGTGGTGCACGTACTTTTTTTTTCCTTTTTGTCTGTGTACCCCTACTTCCTCGTCCAGGCCAACTGGGGCAGCTTCCACGTGCTCGGCTCCCGCAGAAGTAGGTCCCCCGCGTTGTTTGCGGCGTTATCGTTGTTAGCAGCGTTAGCATTAGCGCTGCTAATCGCGCTAATCGCGCTATGCGCTACATGTCCGTGCCGCATCACCGCTCCTCACTGCACCCCCTTCCCCGCAGGCAAAATCCTCGGAGGCGTCGTGCTTGCGCAGCTGCTCCTCATCTACACGCGACTCATGTGCCAGAACAACTGGACCTTCCTCAAAAAATGGACGGACGAGCAGTTTTTTAACCGGGACGAAATCATGAAGGAGCTCAAGGAAGACCAGAAGACCGACTTCTACGTCAACCTCCTCAACCAGTACAGCTTCCTCAAGAGGCTCTATCTGGGCAATAACAAGTTCTACGAGATCCTGCTCCACCTACATAAATACAAGTACCTCCTCGATATTATTTCGCCCATCAATTCGTTGTTCTACATATACATTGCGCACTCGGCTTACTACTACCTGAACAATTTGTCCTTCGCCGGCATTTACATTTCTTCCTTTTCGCTGGCGCTCTTCCTGCTGAATGTTTTATCGAACAAAATAGACATGTACTTCTTGACTCGCACCTAGGTTGCCCTCCGAACACACACTTTTACACATGCAGAAGAAGGAATTTTTTTACACATTCACACCCACGTATAATGCGTTTATTGGGAGAGACCCATTTTTCTAATTCGCGGAACCTCTCGGAGGTGTGAACGGGGGATCCGCATCTGCGTGTTGTTCCTTTTTTTTCTTTTTTTCTTTCCCTTCACACCCCCGTGGGCATGCCCCATTTGTTGAACCTTTGGCCAGTTCACTTCACGACCCCTTCTTTTTTTTTTTTTTTTTTTTTTTTTTTTTTGTTCTCCGCCCAAACGTTTTTTTTTTATCAATACTGGCCAAGGTGGGGGGGGAAAAAAAAACAATAAAAGAATAAAGCTTCCAATTTGCAATTACAAACCCGTATTGGTAGTGCTCCCCAGCTGCCGTAAAAGGAAAGCCCATGTATGTGTATAAACATACACACATGCGTTTTATATACGTGTATGCCCCCCTTTATTGCAAAAAGTAAGAAGCGGCGTCATGCCAGCTAGCTGTGGAGAACATTCGAGGCGACGTTCACTCAGCGATTGTGCAGTGGGTATATACACTTTTTGGAGAAAAAAAAATATATATAAAAAGAACAGTAGGTCGTATTCTCCCCATTTGATGCTTAATGTGCCTTGGCCGTTTTTGTTCCTCTCTATGAGGGCGAAGTTAGCGAGGTGTAATACCTCTGCGGATGTCTTGTTCGTTTTTTTTTTTTTTTTTTTTTCACATGATTAGGCACTGAATTTACCTTGCCTGTGCATATTTTTTTTTTTTTTTTTTTACCTAATTGGCTTTATTTTTGCTGCCCTTTTAGCTTGTCTGTTCATAATTTTTTTTTTTTTTTTTTTCTCGAAATTGTCATTTTGTTTCTGTGTTACCTTATCTGTTGATACATTTTTGGCCAACCGATTGCGGTGTTTTTTTTCCCCCCCCCCTTTGCTGCACATCTTTCCGTGCACTTTTCTTCCCCCCTTTGGAAGAGTCGTGGAAAACTGGGTGCGGTGTGTATGCCCTCCCGCGTGAAGCGAACCAAATGAGCCTAAACTTTAGCGACGATGATGAGGTGTATGCCCAGGATGGGGCGAAAAATGGGGAACCAGATGACTTGAATGGTGGAGCACTAGGGGATCCCATGGGGGACGTGGCGGAGCACTACATGGGGGACCAGGCAGAGGACTACATGGGAGACGTGGCGGACGATCCCGTTGGGGAAGAGCACAATGAACAGGAGGAAAAGAAGAAACGGAAAAAAAGCATGGGGTTTCAACTGAAAAACATTTTTAACGATGTAGCTTTGAATAAAATCACTAGTTACATTAGGAAGAAGCGGAAGAGTGAAAAGAGAAACAGTTACACAAGCACGTGGAATGATTCACATGCAGGTGATAACCATGGCAGTAGTGGTGAGCAAGGCGACAGTGACGATGATGGAATGGGCGATGAAGAAGACGAGCTGCAAAAGTATGTGCGCGAGGAAAAAGACAAAATAAAACAAATACTCCCACAAAATGATGAATTGTGGGATATATATATGTACTTAAATTTAAAAAAAAAGAAAAGAAAAATTGATTATAACGAAAAACACTACACAGCAGCTATTCGGAAGATACTAGAGTGCATAACGAATGATTACAAAACGATTGTTATTGCAAAGTTGTTCGAAAATCAAGTGCTCAAAAAGTACTTAATTTTACCTGACCAGTCAGATTTTTTTAAAAACAGCAAAATTGAATATATCGGGAGGAATACTTCTGTGCCTATTATAAAAAGGAAGAATTATCTTTTGGAAATAAAAAAAAAGCTAGTAGAATTATACATAAAGGGAAACTGTTGCAGTTATACAAAGGATGAGGAGTTGTGTCACTTGTACGGGAAGGAGAAGGATAGCGGGGATTTGTCTGAGCATCAGGGAGAGCCCAGTCAAAGGAGTAACGTTGACCAGGCAGGAAAAGACACCAACTTTATAATTGAAAAGGAAAAAATAAATTTGGAGTTAACCAAGCTGGCAGACAAGTATACCCGCATGGTACACAAAATAAAACAACATCGTAGAAAAAATTTAAAAACAAATTTCAACCTTTTTATGAATTTAATAAATGAAGTCATATCAAAGTTGTACTTTCCTGTTAATAATGTTTTACTTATGGGGGACAACAAGACGGACTTGACCGATATTTACAAAACGGTCCGGCGTAAATACAATATACATGATGTCCTCTCCAAGGTACAAACGCTCAGTCAGAAGAAAGAGGTGTATGAACACTACCGTGCGTACTTGATTTATAAGTATAAGACAACTTACTCCGTTTGCGACGAGCTGTTTAAGACGCACCAAATGGGCGAGAACATTAACATTTTTAATTTTAAAAGTTTTTACAATACCGACTTTGGGGCGGATAAATTTTGTGTCATTCGTTCTGCGGAAGGGGACCAACAGGAGGAGGGAGCGGCAACTTCCCACGGTGACGATGCGGTGCGTGAACAGGAGGTACGCAAGGACGAGCAGGGTGAGTCCGGGGACCCCTTCTCCGGCGACGTGTATGACATGTACGACGCGGAGGACTTTTTCCAAGTGAACGTGTGCCCTGATGTGGCGGCAGGAAAGGCGCCTGCGGCGAGGGATTCCTCCAGTGTGCAGGCCGAGGCCACGGGTACCGCCCATGTGAATGGTGGTCCTGTGAATGGTGGTCCTGTGAATGGTGACCCCGTGAATGGTGCCCCGGTTGAGGAGACGCCCCTCGAGCGGGCCAAGCGGATCGCCCGCGAGAAGAAGCAGAAGCTGTTGGAAAGCAGAGGGAAGATTATATGAGCTGTGTGTTGTGGTGAGTGTGCGCATCCATGGCAGTGTTGCCATCCCAACAACTCATGCCGCTCCTACCACTGCACACCCTTTTAGCCTTGACCCTTTTTATTTATTTATTTTTTTATGCTACCTTTTTGCGTGGCTTGTTTATTTATTATTACTACTTATTTTTTCCTATTTATCTTTTTTATTTATTTTTTCTTATTTATTTATTTTTATTTATTCCTGGACCTCAACCTCTTTCCCCTCCCCCCTCCCATGGGGAACAGACCGCTTAATTGCTCGGCTTGTCTTTGGTTTATTTGCCCTCCCCAAACAACTTGGCCTCCAAAAAAAATTCTGCTAAGTTGGAATTGCTTCGTGCGTGTGCGCGCATATACGTGCCCTCGACTGCATTGCCGCTTTTTTAATGTGGAAAAAAAAAAAAAAAATTATAGTCCCACGCCGGGGTACATATAGTACACATAGGGACGAGGCTCTACCCCTTGGGATTATTTGCTTCCCAAGTGGGCACTTCCCCCCCTTGGGGTTCGCAATCCATCGTTATAGCAGAGGGGGGAAAATCACCTTGTTGGGATGTGCACACGGAAAGGGAGGCGTGTGGTCTCATGTGCCTCTTTCATTTTTTTTTTTTTTTTTTTTTTAAGCTTGCAAAAGCTGTTGTGCCATGTTGTCCTGTTGGCTAACTCGTCCTACAGTCTGATTTTCAAAGGAGTGCACATTTGGGTAGCAGAATGGAAGGAGGCCGAGTTGTTCGCTGGTCGGTGTTAATTCATAACAAAAATAAATTAGCATTTCACAGGGGGGACAAGCTAATCATAATCACGTGCATGGGTGGAGGAGCTGTATGCCTACTTGTGTGTTTTGTGCAGGCATTTTTTTGCAGGAATATTTTTTCCGGAAGGATTCTGCCTTGGCGCCACTTCAACTAATCGTGGGGAAGGGGACTACACCCTCTCGCAAGCAAAGAAGGAAAATTCACGGGGCGCTTTTAGCAGGTACTTTACCCCATTAGGAAAAAGAGTGCGCGCGTTGCATCGTTGAGTAAAATAAGGGAAGCATACTACGTGTACGCACGCACTAATATTTGCAGCATGCATGCAGGGGTGCATTCGTTTACGCCTTTTTATTTCTTTGAAGAAAACGTATTTCCCTTTTCTTTTTTCAGCCCGCCGACCCGCCCCTTCTCACGGCGATAGAACGGCAGGTCATTACTAGAGCTGTCCCGGTCATAAAAAAAAAAAAAAAAAAAAAAAAAAAAAAAAAAAAAAAAAAAATTTGAAGGGGAAAGCGAGCCCATCCTTTGTCCATGAGAGGAAACGAGTTTGTAAAGCAGAAAGTGCACACAACGAAGGGAGAGGTGGCGTTTAGCACATGCTTTTACTTATTATGATTAAGCGAAAGCATTCCTTTTTCCTTTGTTACTACTGACGTATGTGCGTCAGGCGCTTCAGAGTAAAACACGGGCGGATGGGAAATAATCCCACGACGATCTCCGTTGATGAGAGGAGCCTCTCTCGAGCGGAGAGAGTTGCAGTGCGAGGCTCGAAAACGGTGTGGCCGCAGTTGGCTACTTGGCGACTTACAGCCTAGAACAAACAGGGGAGACGTCGCCCCTTTTATTTTATTATATTATTTGGTTTGTTTTCTTTATTTTATCTCTTTATTTTACTTCTTTATTTTACTTTTTTACGCTGTTAAGATACAAATAAAAAGATAGGGGGGAAGGACATACAAGGAAGAGGGTACGGCGAAGTATAGCTGTGGGATGGTTGCTTCTGCGTGGGCAAAGATTTCCCCTGCTGCAGGAGTGGGCCCCCTATTTTTTGCCTGACCTGTTCATATATTTTTTTTTTCCTCCCTTTGGATCATTTTTTTTGCGCTGAAGAGGAGATACCAGAAAGGGGGGTAGCGAAGCCGCACAAGGGAAAAGTGAAAGCACACCGCTGGTCATCGCCGCTGTAACCCCTATCAGCGAACTGTACCAGCGCAACGATGGAGGCGGAGGGGAGAATCCTCGAGAGGAGCAGGGAGCTGAGCGAAATTTTGATCAAGTCCTTCAAAAATGAAGTGGGAAGCGTGAATTACCTGAACGAGTGCAGAAACAGAGATTGCTCTGAATTTTACGGAGCCTTTTATTTAGTATACTCGGACCTGATAGAGAAGGACAAGACGTTGAGCATGTTCAAGGACCATCTGGTGTTCCTCTCCTTTTGCTACATGAACAAATTATTGTTAAAGCATTACCATGTGTACCCACAAGAGAGTAAAGTTAGCATAAGAAATAGCTTTATTAATATTCTGTTTTCTCTACCCATAAGTTTTAATCACGAGTTGGATGGGAGCACACTACACATGAAGGAGAAGTCAGTAGAAGCAGTGAAAAAAAAATTCGCTGATGTGTTTCTGAACCCAATTAATTTGTTAATGAGTGACTACCTCAAGGAGAGGGACAATTACATGATTAGGTTTTATATAAATTGTACGAAGAATAAATTTGCGCAGATTTTTAGTATCCTTTGCCTGAACAATGAGTACGTTTACTTTAGGTACTTGTATAACTTTTTGCTTTTCTTCGTGAGGGAGTTTCTAACGCGCAGGTTGTCTTTGCAGGGGGGTGGCAGTGGTAGCGATGGTGAGTACTTCTCCACCGTCGTGCACATCTGCCTCAACTTCCTGCGGGAGATCTTCTACCACATTAGCAACGAGAGCAGCAGCAATGTTCATAACAAACAGCAGCTCAACATTTTCAGGGGACTCATAATAAACGAGGCGAACGAGTTGTTCGAGTTTTTGTCCATTTGCTTCTACGATAGTCTTAGTTGCAGGAAGAGGGGACAATTCGAGTTACTCATTGAATGTGTGAAGGACCTGTTTTTCTTCTTCCCCTCCCACTTGTTCTTCAACCACCGGGGGGGTAGCAACTCCCCTCTGAAGTTCCTCTTAAACTTGCTCTTTGTGCGCTTCGCGGGGGGTGCAAACAGTGCATTGAGCAGCGGTGTGGGAAGTCATGAACCGCCCTTGCCGCTAACCGAGTTCAACCTTCTATACAATAGTTACCTGTCCCTGAGCCAACTCAGTTGTGTGTCGCCCAGCGTGCAGTCCTTCTTGGCCAAACTAGACCTGGAGGAACACCTCCTACACATCTTCCTGAGCATCATCGAGTACATATCTCGAATAAACAGCAAGAGTTTTATTCAATTGGATGAAAGCGAGTTAATGCAATTCCTCGAAAGTTACTTTAACATAAACCTTAATGTGTTAGACGTGACTAGCTACTCGTATCAGAAGTTGTACATCCGCATGATTGTGAATTTGTCCTCCATCCCCATTTCAAATTATCTGCACGAAAAAAATAACAAAAAAAAATGCCTGCACATGTACATAATAAATGTATTCAAAAATATTTACCATCCCGATGTTGAAATATTGGCCAATGTCTTATCCATTTGTAAAAATATATTTGAAAATAACAGGGACTTGATTTATATTAAGAACAAAGAAAATGAATTAGCTAGCCAAAAATATAATATACACAAAATTGAAAGAGAAAGTATGCTGGATCAGAACAATGAAAAACTATTTAATCCTGATACACAATTTGTCGTGAGCCGAGAAGATTTAAAAAAACTTTTCATGCTCATGTTTGTTCGTTTTATGAAAATCCCTGTATACTCTGATCAGAATTGTTTAAATAAGAAAATGATGATCGACTTTGTTCATAATTTTATTAATGAATACAATGAGGAGTGGTTTCAGACCTACTTCCGTTACGTGCGAGAAGATTGTATGGAGGGAGACAAAGGGGAGCAGGGTTTGAATTGTTGTAACCAAACAGGGCGAAGGGATAACACGAAAAATTTGCTAAAGCAGAAAATTTTTGCCCTTTTTCGTGTATTGGTAGGACTTAACCACGAAGTATTTTCCATCATGGTTGAAGTCTTTTGTGAGTTTTTTATATTTTATAAGAATATTAATGTCCAAAATTTGTGTAATGAGACCATGAAGGTGAAGGACTACTTCGTTTTTGTTTTGCTTCGTGTGTATTGTGAGTTGCTCGTTTTTTTTGTTAACACCTTGAAGGAGTGTAAGGGAGTGGTTACTGGTGGAGACACGGAGGTAAACGAGGAAGTCATTTCTTTTCAGCTTCTTCCCCCTGGAGAGAAGGAGGCCTACTTACAAGGGATTCTACATTTGAGGAACTCTCTTGCGAAACGCATCATTGGGTCACATGCGTTTGAAGAGACGGAGCTGGACAGGAAGATGCAGGAGGCGGTGAATTGGAAGGGGGTGCAAACGAACTGGCAGCGTGCCGATGGAGGAGAGGACAGCAATAACATAGAAGACTTGAAAAAGAGAAAGGAAAAAGTGGAGTTACAGATACACATTATTAATTGTATTCAAAAGTATGGGGGGTCTCCTTATTATGAAATTAGTCTAGAGTGTATTAACAATTTGTTAAATTGTTATAAGGAAATTTTGAATGGTGATTTTATGAACATGTGTAAAGTTTCTTCAAACTTTCTTTTGTTCGAGGTGAAGAGGTTGCAGTTCCTCTCGGAAAGTACCTACCTACTACACTACAATAAGCAATGTGCCTTTTACATGATGGAAAATTTATTACGTAACATCGTCCAAGGGGAGGAGACGCCAGGTTCAACGGATTCGAGAAGCGACTCCAACACTTCTATCGAGCTGAAGAAAAATTATTTTGCCATTTTCACTTCCATTATCTCCAACCTGAAGCATCTAGTAACAAACGATATGCTCGAGAAAATGCTGAACTCCTTCCTTGAGTTTAAAGCGAGCAATAATGTCTTCAAGTGTAACAAGGAGCTTTGTGTATTTCTACTAACCCTCATTTCTGTGTTGAAGGTGGGTGACATGAACGACAAAGTGATAAACACTTATTTGAGTGTCGTCATGGAAGAACTCTTTGTATTCCTAACAGATGCTTCTAAAAGCATATCCTCGTTCGAGACCCTTTACGAGTTTTTATTTGGAGACGAGAGGAAGGTGGAGATCGGGCGCACACTGTTTGATATACTCAAAATCGCGCAGACCTACTTTTGTGTTTTTTCCTTCTTCAAAGTGGAGTCTCGTCTTCGAGGGGTTGGTGAGAAAATTTTGGGGTCAGCTGGTGACATGGATGGGGTGGCCAAGGGGATATTGGAGAATGTGCGTCTGGTGGAGAATAATCCTTTCCTTCAAATGAGCATTGAGTTGTTTACGCGAGTGATGTTTGTGTACCCTGGTCTGAATGAGATGTTGAAGAACTGCCGGTCATTCGAGGCGCACCCCATGCTTTGCGCGGAGGTGAGTTACTTCCACTTGAGCGAGCGGGAGCGCGAGATCGCCTCTGTGTGCGCGCGCATGGGTAAAGAAGCCATTAGCGGGGTTAGCGGCGTTGGCGTGGCTGGCGGCATTAGCGCGATTAGCAGCGTTAGCAGCGTCAGCGGCCTTCGGGGGGTTGGGGGGGCACCCCCAAAAGGAGGAAAGAAGTTCAGTTTGACGGTGAAGTGCCTGCACGAGAATATGTGCAGCGTGGTGAAGCGGTTCATCAGCGAGGGGTACATGTTTGTGTACAATGACACGGAGAAGCTGTTCCTGGAGGTGCTATCGCCGGCATTCGACTTCAGCCCCTACCACTTCATGGCTCAAAATGTGCAACAGGTATATTTATGTCTGAGCGAGAAGTTAAGGCAGCAGCTGGTAGAACGAACCCTAAAAGAGTTAGTAACCAAGTGGTGTGAACACATATTTTCACAATTTGTATTGAAGCACTACAACTACTTCAAATCAAGCTTCGAACACATACAGATGGTTCATGAACACCTGAATAAACAAGTCGATATGAAAGAAGAAGAGTACGTCATGTATGGTGACCTCTTATACCATAACAAAAATTATATTCTTACGTTTATAAAAATATGCAAAAATATTTTTACGGTTCCAAATGAATTTAAGAATAATCGAGACGGCAAATCTGTTTTCTTTCCTTTTTACCGAGACAGCAAGAATGAAACGTTGAACAATTTATTTATAACTTTGGAGTTACTTCTGCACAGCTACGATTGTAATATTGTGAAGAAGTCATTAGGTTTATTCTTAGATATGTCGGACTCGATTATGTTTCTTCCTTTTGACTCATCTCACTTTTTAATTTACCTGGGGATGCTTAAAATCGTTTTGCGAGCCTTCCTCCTGTTTAACCCTCCAATACTGACTCTTCAGCAGAAGGGCAAGGGTGGGGGTCAGGGTGTTAATAATTCGAACCTGTTGAACAGATACGAAGAGAAGAATAATGCTGGAGGAGGAGCAAGAAGAGGGGATGACCTCCTTCATAATGACTCTATGGAAGTGTACACAGGAGAGATGAACCTGTTTATGAAGAACGACCCACAAGAATTAACCTCATATTTACATGTCATCCCTTCTGCCTTTATTAAAATCTGCAAAAATTATTTTTGCCTGCAAGCCAAGGTGTACAGACTGAAGGAGAGTGGTGGTGCTACTTCATTAGATGAGTTACTCCAGTTGGACACTGTAAAGCATTTTCTTTTTCTCTTCAAGGATGTGGACGGTTCCTCCTCGTTCGACTTTCGTACCATCGTCGCTGACCTGTTTCAACAGAACGCTTGCGACTACTTGAGGGGTGTGCTCGTGCAGTGCCGCCTCGGCGCTCAGGGGTGAGAAAAGTGTGTCAACCCGACCCGCTTCTAAACCTTCACACGGTGTAGTACAGTGTAGTAGCTCTCCCCCGTTCCGTTTTTTCCACTCGCATGCGCGTGCACCTCCCCACATTTTTGTAGCGACTCATGTAACTCTTTTTAATTAACGAAAAAAAAAGTTAACACCAAAATTGCACAGGAAAAAAAAATATATGTATGTATATATATATGTATATGTAAAATCCTTTTGGCCACGTCCCACCTGGTAATGCCCCTACACCAGAGTGGAGTAAAAAATTTTTTTTTTTTCCCCCTTGTGCCCATTTTGTGCGTTGGCGAAAAAGGTGTGTACCTTGTCAACTCCGTGCGTAAGAGTAGGAAGCGCGTACGTATTTTTAAAACGATGCTTGGCACGGCTGGCGGCGAACAAAGGAAATTTGTTTTTTTCCCCTCTGCCTCCCCCCCGCATATCACCATGTGTGCAGAGAGCTATGTGCGCACCCCCCGTTCGAACAGATGTTACAACCCCACAAATGTGAAGCCTTGCGGATGCCCTCAGTGCCTGGAGCTGTACGTCAGCTCCTGTGGCTGCTGCTAGTTTTTGTGTCGACAGGGAAGGTTCCCTGTGTGCACAGCTTCACTGTGCAAAGAGGTCTCCAATTTTCAGTTCACCCCTGTGGATGTAGAAGGAAGGTTCCGATAGTCCCTAGGGTTGGCAGGGCCTTGGAGAGACCCATCACTGTTTTGAAGTCCACGGAGGAATTCGATGATTACAAATACTTCACAGATGAGTACGTTAGCGCGAGGGGGAAGTGGTTCTCTTGTGGTGAAGGAGAGGCCGCCACTACTTGACCCCTTTGTCACCACTTCTCCCCTTCACCGCCGCTCCTGTGCAGGTACATCCCGCCGCTTCCCCCCGTGGAGACGTGGGAGGAGCTGCTGATGAAGGAAGAAATTAGAAACAAGGCGGAGGACGAGAAGCGGAGCGTGGACGATTACACGCTCACGCACGAGAGCAGGCAGAAGGTGCTGGACATCATGCGGCAGACGCGCCTGATCAACCACTGCAACTACGAGGCCCAGAAGAACAAGCAGAAGAACGTGCTGTACTTCGTGACGCCCAAGATGGGTTAGTGCGGTTATCGCACGTGGCGAGGTGCACCTCTTCCTCACCGCTTCCTCACCACCGCTTTGCTCTCTTCGCCGCTTCCTCACCGCCGCTCCTTTTCCGCAGGCCCGTACTGCAAGCTTATGGAGGGGGACAAGGATAAAATGGAAAGCCTAATCAGCAAGGTAAAGGAAAAGTTTGAAAACAAGGTACAAATTGTGAACATGAAGATGGACGTCAAGATGCCTCTGTTCGAAATATTTTTACAAGCAAACATACACACACAAATAAAAATCTTCCACGCCAGGGGGAGGACTCTACAGTATAGATTGCCCCCCCCCTTTTGGACCAAATGCAAAATACTTAAGGAGAACAAGCTGCTGCAGGAGAAGTACGGAGGAGAGTGTGCCCCAGGGTTGTTTCCTCGTTACGATGAATATGTTATGATGGAAATAATGACTGAGTGTGTCTTTAATGACAAGTACAATTACTATGTGTACGACGTGAATTTGGAGTGGGAGAACTTGTGTGCACTTACTCCGGAAAATAAAGAGCTTCGGAAGATCGTTCACCAGAACGTGCACGTCCCTACTCGCCTGGCGGTCATCAAGGCTTTCGAGGAGGGTAAGGCTCCATCGCCGCGTTACACATTGATGCGGCGTGCCCATTTGATCAGCAGTCCAATTGCTCATTTGCCAACTCACCCCCCCCTGACATGCTTTTAGGCATCGCGGACTTCAGAGACGTCATCCACGAGGAACACCTCATTATGCTCCGTGAGCAGCGGAAGATGAAGGAGAATCGTCGTTACAATTTTTAGTGTCCGCATGGTTTCGGGAGGTGACATGCACCGTCGTCCACGAATGCCTCAATTGGACGTAACTGCCTTTTGCTGCATTGCGTCTAGCTTTTTTTTTTTTTTTTTTTTTTTTTTTTGTTCATGTAAAATGCGAACTCTTTGCGGTCGTGGCCGCGACAAACACACACACACATACACCTCTGCGGTAGGGAGACTTATGCCCCACCACAAAGAGGTACGTCTATAGCATATTAGCTCAGCGCAGATGGATACCTGCCAAGGGGTTGCCGCTTCAGTGACGACAACTACCACCGCTTCCGTACTTTTTTAGCTGTGCTGTCGTAAGTGGAACATATGGTACCATTGCTATTGTTATGTTTTTTTTTTTTTTGCCTGCACATGTTCAGGCATATGTTGCACCATCCTTGAGGAGACTTTTTTTCCATGACTGAACGGGGAAGCGTGTCCCTTACGCGGCTACACATGTGTGTTGCGTGTAAGTGCAACTGTACACACACAGCCGATTCGTTCTCCTCCCTCCACTCTTCATTATTCACTCTTCACTTGGAACGTATGCCAACGTACATGCCTCTTTGAACACTGTTGCAATGCATGTGGTGAGCGAAAAGGAGGAACAACAAAAAAAATTACGTTACACATGTATCCCCAACATATGAAAAAATTTCCCAAAAGTGTTCCCTTCTTAATGGGCCTGAAAACAGTGACGTGTTTAACACGACAGGGAGGTAGCACACGGGAGGGACAAAAAAAGTTATATATATGACCCCCCAATAATGCGTACACAAGTGAGTAGGCAAACAAAAATAACAAGGGGCAAAAATGGGGAGCATATTTATACTTGTGCGACGCGTTTACATTACGTCAAGGCGATGTTCTTTTCAGTTTTGCATTTCCCCCTAACACGCCCATACCACACGCTGCTCATCATACGGTTGGTTATTCAGTTGGCCATTCGTTCGGTCATGTTGTTGTCATCCTCACCCTTTTAATACTTTTTTTTTTCCTTTTTTTTTCCCTGTACCCATTTCTTCTGCGGGCCATTTTTTTTTTTTTTTTTTTTTTTCATCGGCCTCATCTGGCACACGCAGCACACCCTGGTATACGGGGGTACGGTATGGGTATGTTCGCGGGAAAAAAAAACTAAGCGAATTTTGTCGTTGCCAGCAGGCAAAAAAAAAAAAAATATATACGAAAATAAATATTCTGCTTGTACTTGCATCCCTCGCCGATTGCGTCGCCGTATCGTCACAAGTTCCTTTCACTAGTCGACGCTCGCCATTGTCGTCATCACCTTATCCCCATATCCCCCCCGGGCAAACACAGGTAAAATCGCAGGAGAGGGCGACCAGCACTTTTTTGGCCGCCACGCCGAGCACCTTTTTCCCCCCATGAGTTGTTAACAAAAAGCGTTGCGCACGTATATAAAGTGGTATGCATACGTCATGTTCCCGTGTGCCATGCGTTAGGCGCTATGCGCGCATGAAAGCGGGGCGAAGAAGGGGGGTAAAACTCCAACGCTAAACGGCATTCCTGCGGACACGCAAAATATAAATACTGCTCGGGTGAACGCCTTACCAGCGCGAGCGGTGCCCCCGAGTAAGCGTTACCCCAACGGTTGAGTGAACACAGCGTACTGTTTTTATGGGGAATATATATACATTTATATACACGGAGCACTCTTTACGGCCGTTTTTTTTTCCCCTTTTTTTTTTTTTTTTTTTTTTTTTTTTTTTTTTT